TATTTAAAATTAAAAAACTAAAAGAAATGAAAGTGATAGATTTTACTCTTATAATATCATTTATTATAAATTAAAAAAATTAAATCGAATTTAAAATAAAAGAAATTTTTTTAAGGAGAATGTTTTTTATTTTTTTAAATTTATTATTTCTGAAATATTGAAAAAAACTATTATTTACTTTTTTTCGAGACTATCTAAGATGCGTCAAAATTTCCCTTGTGGCATTTTTATACTCTAAACACTGCAGTACTCTGATGAGTAAGCAAATTCACTTTCTGTCATTGGAAAATATATAAAACAAAGCAAAAATAAAATTTGTTTAATAATCATTTTTTCATTTTTCTTGCAATGAAAGAAAATGTTGCGCAACGAAACTATCAATATAAAGAGGATTTTGTCCCTTTATTTCCCATGTTACCAATTTCGTGTCGTAAAAAATGTAGTTCTACACGGAGAGAAAAATCTAGCTTTAAATAGCATGAAAATGATTCCTGCCATTAAAGCATGAAAATAATTCCTACCATTAAAGCAAGAATTCATACGTTCTTAGTATGTTTGAGAAACACGCCTTCATAGTATGCATTTAATACTTTAAATGCATAAGCGCCACGCATAAATTGTATGAAACCAAAACCTATACTGCTATTGCAGGAGTCTCATGCTTTTTCGGTATTAGAGTCCTGCAACTGGCGATCACCAAGGTTGAGTGGCTTAATACCGAAAAAGCATGAGACTCCTGCAATAGTAGTAGGTATATGCATTATTAAAGTATTAAATATACATACCACGAAAGCATGTTTCTCAAACCTTTTAAGCATGGACACCAATCATACTAATAACGTATGAATTCTTACTAATATCACTAGAATTTATCTACTATAATAGCATGGAAAAGATTCATGCGTTAAACGTATGCCTTATCATGCTATAAAAGCTAGATTTTTCTCTCTGTGTAGTGAACTATTTATACGTTTTTTATCTTGTAACCGTAAAGTTTGATTAATAATAGAATATAAAAATGTATAAAGAGTGGAAATATTTCATAAACCGAATCACTCAGTCAAGTTTCCCAAAGGACATGTCAGCTAGAAAATTTATGTAATTTTTGATAAGTGCACTTAACTCGGCCTTTGAAGTCTGCGGAATTGATAATTTTGTGTTATCTACAATTTAGTGCTGATAAATATAACGCAAATACCTTTTTATGCAAATTACTATCCTATAAAAAAATATATTTTCAATCAGAAATTTTTTAAATTTCATTTGTTTTTAATTTATTTTTATCTAAATTTTAAATAAACCTTTTGTGTATGAGTGGTTTTTTTCAATTTTTATATATACTAATTGACTAAAATCATAACTCATTACAGGTATTTAAGAAATATTTTTTCTCGTAATTACGAAAACGAAACAAAGACATAAAAATTTAAAATAATAATGCATAAATGACATATATCTTCGTTTCTATAAAATTCACTCTTTTCATCTGCAAACAAACTTACTAATCTAAATAGTTTCCTGAAATAAATCGTCTTGGATACACCAGCAGATAAGAAACTTTCGAGTTTGGGGAAAAAGTTTTTGTGAAACTCTCTTTTTTTTCATACTAGAACCGCGGAAATAAACTTTTTCACAAAGGAATTTAAAAATTTTCACATTTCACAAGTTCTGTGATAAACTCATAATTTGTAATCGATTTAAATATAGTTATATTGTTCTATAGCCCGTGCATCCATATTTGTTCCATATTACCGACCTGGCCCCGAGTTAGTAAATTTCGGTGGCCCCGATCGTCATGTTATTTTACAGAAATTTCTTAATTACCAAACTGTCATCAATTTAAATTTTTCAAAAATAATTTTATTCCAATTATGTAAAAATGTCGAAAGTGAAGAATACGTTTGCAAAGCGAATCTGATTGTAAGTAGAAAAAAATAAAAAAATAAAAAAAAAAAATCACTAAAAATTTGTGAACATTAAATTAATGTTCTATAATGTTCTATAATGTATAAACAAAATTAATTATTTCTTTCTATTTATTAATTATTATAGATAAATTAAATAAACAGGATGTTCCAAAAGTATGGAAACTTGCAAATTTTCGTGAAAAATATCTGAAACAAATATCTATTTGTTGTTCCAAAAAAAATCTACATTTTTGAACCCAAAAAATTGGTCCCGGGACCCAACAGTGAAAAAAGAAGTATCACGAAAATGCGTACTTTTCGAGATATTTGCAAGTTTCCATACTTTTGGAACACCCTGTATACAATGGCGATTAGATAGGGCAAAAAGATAGGGCCCTGGTCAGGTTTTCGTCAAAATTTTTGCACGGCAGTACATATGAACTGCCGGATCAAAGAAGGGCACATAACTAATGTAATTCAAATGGGTTATGTGGCCTTCTCTGATATAATAGTATGTATATTGCTTAACATGGGGAAGACGGACGAATGGAGAGGGCGAATGTTTTTAGCACGAGTCGAGCACTGAGATGAACGAAGCGTGATTCGCAGTGCTCGACAAGTGCTAAAAATTCAGTCCTCTCCGTAAATCGGTCCTTCCCCATGTCAAACAAGATATTTTTTATCACGAATGCACGATTTCGCCAGTTTTGTGCCCCGTCGAGCGAGTTTAAACTTCAGGTTTTTGACTTGGTGCAAAACACAAATATTAAATGTCATCTTTAAATGTTTCACTATCAGAACTCGTCATTTTTACGATTTTTTAATATTTTTAAGCACTTTTGATAAAAATATTAAACTCAACTTGAAGAACCCAAGTAGCACGATATATCAACCAGATGTCACGGTGATATTACCGGGGAATGTCACCGAGACATCAGGAAAAATGTCAAAATGTCCGCCTTACGGTGATATCACACGGTGACATCGAGGTGATATCATGGTGACATCAAGGTGATATCACAGTCATATCACGGTGATATCATGGTGATATCATGGTGATATCACCGTGATATGATGTTGATATTTTACAGGGATTTAAAATTTTTAAAAAATTATTATTTTTTATTATTTTTTAAATTATTAAAAATTTTAAATCCCCGTAAAATATCAACATGATATCACACTGATATCACCTTGATGTCGCCATGATATCACCTCGATGTCACCGTGTGATATCACCGTAAGGCGGACATGTTGACATTTTCCTGATGTCACGGTGACATTCTCACTAAAAAACATTGACCTGCGTGCGCCGCTATGGAGCATGCCCACAGCAACAACAACTGACTGAAAAGTGTGTGTAAATGATTTGTTTTATGTTTGTGATGTCTTATTTTAAGACCGAAAAGAGGTCTTATTTTAAGAGGCAACATTTTTAAGGCAGCTTTGCTGAATTTACGCAATGCAATTTCCATTAGAGCTAATAGCGCTGATTTTAAGACTCATCTAAAAATAAGATCTTCTTTATACACTGTTATTTTCGTACATATTTTTCCTGATTTTATTTTATAACAGTTTCATTAAGATAACTTTTGAATATTAACAAAAACAAAAAGTGAAAAATACTTTTACAGAATGGTAACATATTGTCCTTTGTATTAAAAGTAATTGTTTGATTAGGCAATTTTGGTTCTTGTAGCCAAATTTTGGTTGGTTGAAACAAAGTCGTAGAGTTATCTCAACCAAATATTTGGTTAGGCCAACAAAATTATTTGGTAGAACATTTTTAAATTCCAACCAAAATTTGGTTTCGACAACAAAATAATTTGGTTAACACAACAAAATATTTTTGTCTAAAAAAGCAAATGATCGTTTGTTGTCCTAACCAAAATTTGGTTGCGACAACCAAATAATTTGATTCGCTCTCAGCTTATTATAGCTTAAGAGAACAGTTAGTTTAAATCTCTCACAAGGATGGGTAGTCCAGTGGTTAGAGCTCCCGACCTTCAGTTTTAAAACAGAGGTTCGATCCCAGGATAAATAAACAATGAAATAAATAAAAAAAAATGAAACGAAAAGAGATACGGTAGAATAAAATTTTTAATTTTACAAAAAAAACTGTTTGTTTGATCAACCAAACATTTTTGTTGACTTAACAAAAAAAATTTGGTTGGGCTAACCAAACATTTTTGTTATGCCAACAAAAACACTCAACCAAATTTTTTGGTTGACTCAAACAAATAGTTTGGTTGCTTAAATACCAACAAAATTTTTTTGTTGGCCCAACCAAATTTTGGTTGCTCTGACTAAACATTTTTCTCAGTGCAGCTTTAAATTTCTTAGAATCTAACGTAGACAGTTTTATGTTAATTAATGAAAACTGATGATATTTTTATAAATTTAAAGTAATTTATGAAAACTTCTGAATTATAAATTTATGAATTCATGAGTTATATGAGACAGGCATTTAAATCAAATATGTTGTTAAGAAGTGGATTTTTTTTTTGGAAACTAATTATATTACCTATTCATATTACATATTTACTTATGGTAATCGGCTAAAATCAATTGACGAAATAGATTGACTGGTGAAAGAAAAGGTCAAATGAATCTCTGGTAGCTAAAACGTCTAATTTTAAAGAAAGATTTACGACGAAAAACTAACGTTTTTTTATAGTACAAAGCATTATGTGATATAGTTTACAGAGTGTAATTTTTAACGCGGTGGGTCATATTCGCGACCGTATATATTTTTCTAAAAATTGATCGGCAAAGTATATGTATGTGTTTATATACCTACATATATTAAACAAGAGTTGGAAAATATATAAACCTCGCCCTTGCAAAATTGATTCCAAGGCAAAAAAAAATTGCGCTGAATAGTCAGCAAAATTCATTCTCGACTTTATATACATTTTTGCAACTCGCGGATACATATCCGTGTCTGTTCTAGTTTTCTGCGAACAAAAGGGAGTAAATTTTACTTGACAAGATAATCTGGCTTTACTGATAAGTGACTGAACACGCGTTTCCTAATTAGTATTTATGTCCAAATAAGAACTTCTTCTTCATGCAGTTGAGATTCTTCCAGTTCAAGATGTTTAATATGTAAAGAAAGGGAGGCAAACCTCAATACCTAGAGGTATAGCACTTGCTCTCAGTCTTTTTTGTAAAGAAATTATTTACTTTCAAAAAGTGAAAAGAGTTTTCAGTTATAAATCAACCTATGAGTTGATGATTTATATAAAATTCATCAGTTATTTGAGAAACTATTCTTGAAATTTACCTTAGTCCTATCTATTTTCACAAAAAAAAGTTGCGGACTCATATTTTTTTCTGTGTTGCCCTATTATTAACTAGGTCCAAGTTTGGCACTCTAGCTTGTTCCTACAATGTTTTGTGATGCGATTTTAGCCTGGTCCTAATCTGGGTGCCTAGTTAGAACCAGTTTTAATAATAAATAATAAATCATTAAAAAAATTAATTTTAACCACAATTAATACTATATAACTTTCTAGAAGGAATATCCTGTAAGTTTTAAATTAAACTCTGAGAGTTGAATTAAAATTTGAACCCTACAGGAATCGAACCCCAGACGCATGACCTACACGGAAAGAAATGCTATCGAAATTTCAGCCATAAACTTATGGTTGAGATTTCTGGTTGAATTGGTTATTCAGTCTGTCAAATTGGCAGGTAAGTTAGTTTATATTAGCTATGTGAAGTCTGAGTCAGAAATCTTGCTCTTTGGAAGTACTATTCGTTTGGTTGGATTACCCAAACTATATGGCAGTAACAGTGCCATGTTAATTCAGTTATACGATATGACAGAAACAGCAAGAATTATGGCAGTAATTACGAAAAATTTCTTTCAGTGTAAGAGACCCAACGAACCTTACTACTAAATCGTTCCTACGTCTCACGGATACAACAAGTATATAGGCACTAGTAGCAGTGGTGGTGGGGATGGTTTCCGTAGTCCGTGCTGGAACGCGATTGACATGGTCATGTTTAAAGCTTTATTGCAAAAAAAGTAATTAGAAAAATATTATTTTTCACATTTCTATATGAAAGAGCAACTCAAATACTATCGATTCGCATATAAAACTGGAAATTAATTTTTTGTCGCAATAGGTCTCTTTTCTCGTGGAGCGTCACATATTTTTTTAATTCCATTTTCCAAAAATACTTGAAATACTGTTGTTATTTATTAACTTTTTTGTAGTGCACTTAGAAAGATGCAGCTTTTTCCTAATTTTACAATAAAAAGAAATACTGCATTTTTCTAGGACCAGTCTAGAATATATAAACAGGGGCTGCCAAGGTAGGACCAATGTTGGGCCAACAATCATTTTAGGCATACGTTGGTGATTTCTACACGGGTTAAAATAAATATATATATAGGTAGATTTAGTTAATTTTCTTCGTGTATACTCAAAAAGTTTTACTTGAGCATTATAATTTCTGAAAGAGATATACATTTATGAATCTGAAAAACTGTTGATAAGAGAATCAAAGTCAGGTTAGAATATGCAAAGTATTTATTGTATTTAAATATTTGCTTAATATAATTATTCCGATTGAAAAATGTTTTATTAATTAATTTCAAGTTTTCCTTTTAAAAATTAATAATTTATAGTCATTACATCTTCGCTCGAGATATAATTAGAATGTCCTCTCTTGTTAAGAGCAACAACGTGGAATCTATATGCATGATTTGGTAAAAGTCCAGTGACTGTATATTTGGGGAAATCTGAACCGTCAATCAAGTCAAAATTATCAAATACTGCTCTATCATGGTAGTATGTAACCGCGCAAAGGCGTTTTTCAAAATATCTTCCTTCTTTCTTATCTAATACAATTTTTGTTTACAGTTTATTATTAATATGATTAAAGCAATTAATTAGAAAAGAAAAAAACTCGAAAATATTAAGTACAATAAGAAATATAATATAAAAATAGTTTTTGCAAGGAAGAGATGAAAATTTCGTTGATCGAAGATTCAAAAAAAATAGTTTAAAAAGTTTAAAGTTTTTTTTAGTTTTAAAGTTAGTTTTTTAGTTTTTTTTTTAGTTTTTTTTTTTTTTAAAGTTTTTTTTATTTAAAAAATAGTTTTAAGCACTTGGGTCTTAAAAATATTTCGATTGAATAAATGAATCATTTATCTACACGATCTGCATTAAATTTAAATTCATTTTTTTATTTATATAAATGAAATTTTAAAAATAAAAAATGTTTGTCATTGGGGGCAAAGCCGTTTAAAAAATGTTTTGTAAAAACAGTTGAAAATGAAAATCTGCATTACCTTTAGACATGAAGGATTTCTAACTTCAAGCGCATCAAATGTCAACAAAAATGTTATATATTTTATTCAATAAAATAACTCCAAAATTTGTCTATTGGTAAATATTGTTATTCTTAAAAAATGTTTGTAAACAATATATGTATGTATATCAATATAATGTATATTATTATTAATTTAAAATACAATTAAACAATAAAAAAATGTACTTTTAAATATTATTAATAATTAAAAATACAATTACAAAATAAAAAGAAATTATTATAAAATATACAAATATCCATTAAATGAAAACAAATATTTTAATTTCATTTTATTTACAGACTTCAATTTTATTTTTTAAATTTCAAATTTCCCATTTTTCACACTGCGCATGTGCATGCATTTCTGACGCTGAAAGCATAAGGGCCAACGCACAATAGCTTCGCGAAAGTCGTTCTCGAACGAGATGCATGAGATAGAAAAGGATACGAATATATCGCTTTCGCGAAGCTATTCTGTTTAGGCCTTTAATCATTACATTGAATTTATCCTCTTTTTTTTTATTGTTTTTTTAATTCACTGATTGTTTTATATTCACTTATAAAAAAGGTGGTTGACACGGAAATAATATGGAAACGATTATAAAGCAGTCTTTGACAAAAATTTCAAGAATATCATTCAAGTGTCTAGACAATTGCGTGGACACACAATGTGACATTATCATCTTTGTTATCATTAAAATATTTCACGTTTCCTTCAATGAAGAAAAATTTGCATCCCACGATGAGAGACAAAGAATAATTTGTTTGTTGCTCTCGCAATAATTGCCCAACCTTCGAACAGAAAGAGAGAGAGAGACAATTTCCGTGTCACGATTGTACGTGCCGCTTTTTATAGTACCATTTTTACTTCGATTATAGACTTTTGCTTCTTTTTTTGAAAGTATTTTTATCAGAAAAATATGATAGTCACTTATAGAATATTGTTTGTTTAAATCGAAAAATTTTTTCTCATAATTTCCAAATTTTAAATCAATGTAATTCAAATTAAAAGAAATAAAAAATTTGTCTATTGGTAAACATGATTATTTTTAAAAAATGTTTGTAAATTTATTAAAAATATTTTTTGCGTTTATTCTTATAAAGTAAAGTTTATTTAATTAGAAAAAACAATTCTCACAATTTTATTTTATTTTTCCAAATTTAATGGCCAATTTCAAAAAAACGTCACCGACGTATATGAATATTCTCTATTAATATGGGAAATGACAGCAAGTGAGTATTTTTGAAATCAAATAGAAATTCAAAAAACAAATAATGACTTTTTAAATTTCATTATTACTAAATGCAAAAAAAAGAGACATAACTAATGTAATTCAATTGGGCTCTGTGCCCTTTTTTGACCAGGCAGCTCAATGTAATTCAAATTAAAAGAAATAAAAAATTTGTCTATTGGTAAACATGATTATTTTTAAAAATTATTTGTAAACCTATTAAAAATATTTTATGAATTTTGTCTTGTCAAGTGGGATCACTTAATAATTTTTAAATTAACTGCAATATACTTTTAAATATTATTAATAATTTAAAATACAATTACAAAATAAAAAGAAATTATTATAAAATATACAAATATCCATTAAATGTAAACAAATATTTTAATTTCATTTTATTTAAAGACTTCAATTTTATTTTTTAAATTTCAAATTTCTCACTTTTCACACTGCGCATGTGCATGCATTTCTGACGCTGAAAGCATAAGGGCCAACGCACAATAGCTTCGCGAAAGTCGTTCTCGAACGAGATGCATGAGATAGAAAAGGATACGAATATATCGCTTTCGCGAAGCTATTCTGTTTAGGCCTTTAATCATTACATTGAATTTATCCTCTTCTTTTTTTATTGTTTTTTTAATTCACTGATTGTTTTTTATTCACTTATAAAAAAGGTGGTTGACATTAAAAAAAAAATATGAATGTGTTGAAATAGAAAAAAATAGATTAATACAGATCTAAAATTTACTTATTAAAAGTTGATCGTTTTGAATTCAAATTCGCCATTTTGGTATAGTTTCATACGACAGGAAGTGTCGACTTGTGGCGCTACCAGTAAACTTCCACTAAAACCATTTCTTCCTCATGTTCCTCATTGTTCTACTCGTCGCAGAGAGAAGTGTAAGTAAAAAAGTGAATTCTTTGTTAATATCATTTGAGTGTTTAAAATTTTTTTCATTGATCTATTCGGTGTTCTTGTTAGTTATTTTATTCGTCCGAAATTCAGAAATACTCTTCAAATAAGTAAGAATCGGGTTCTAAATTGAATTAAAATAGTAAATTTTTGCGGTGTGAGATTCTATGTCCGCCCCATTTTGTGCACGCTTGGCTTGGCGTCATTTTTTCCCCACAATCGTAGAATGTGGTTCACATAATTTTTGCGTTATTAATCGATAAATTTTTGTAAAAATAGATATTATTTCGGTATTTCTGTATTTTATTTACAAAATTAATCGAATTTATAATATATTGGATGATGGAATAATCGTTAATAGTAAATATATTCATCGTAAATGGAAGTGCAATTTTTTCTCACTCTAGAAGCATCGGTGCTATTTTCTCTATTATTTTACTTTGCTCGCGATCAAAAATATATTGCCAACTTGTGACGTCACACACATAATGTATATATATATATATATATATATTTATTTATTTCAAAAAATTATTTTAAATCTATTCATTAATACTTAATTATATAATATATAATTTCAACAATATATTATAATAATCTTAATTAATTAATAATAGTATTAATATTTAAATATATTAAATTGTGTATTTTCACTTAAAAATTTCACAACATAACCTATAATTTTAGTTTCTAATGTCCCTTTCTTCAGATCGCGTCACATATTCAAAAAACAAAACAAAACTCAAAAATGTGTCTATCAATAAATATTATTATATTTAGAAAATATTTGTAAACTAATTAAAAGTATTTTATCTATTTATTTTTATAAAATAGAGTTTGTTTAACTAGAAAAAACAATTTCTATAGTATTATTTTCTTCTTGCAGTTAACGTTTTATTTGGAAATCCTCAGTTTCATCGTCAATCATCGTTCTGATTTGAAGATACCGTTTTTGCGTTTTGAAAGAATCAATTGCATCGTCACTTACCGGTATTCTTGGATATCCTGCATTTCACTTGTCATTTTCTGCTTTCGTGTGAGGTAAGAATTTTTAATAAAAAATATTGGGATTTTGATTGGATTTTCCTAATATTATATTCCCCGCGATATTGCGGGTATAAATGTAAAGGGATTACACAATCGATATTATTCTTATTTTCAATTATAACATATTGCCATTTTAATTTTTTTAATATTTAAATATTCAAAAAGATTAAATTTATTAATTTATTGAATATTATTATATTATTATTAATTTATTCTTATAAAATAGAATTTCTTTAACTGGAAAAAATTATTTCCATAATTTTATTTTCTTTTTCCAAATTTCAAGTCAATTTTGTGGAAAAAAATAAAAAAAAAAAATCGTCCATGGGTAAACAGAATTATTTTTAAAAATTATTTTTTGCATTTATTCTTATAAAATTGAGTATGTTTAACTAAAAAATATTATTACCACAATTTTATTTTCTTTTTTCAAATTTTTAACCAATTTAATATGTAATACAATCTGAAGAAAGGGACATTAGAAGCAAATGAATTGTAGGTTGTGTTTACGATAGTTTTACTTGAACTAAAAGTTTATTTTTGATTTTGTAAGACTGATATCAGATTTATTGAATATTTTGAATGTAAAGAAGATATATTAATATTATTTTGCATTACAAGTTGAACTTCTTTGTGTATTTTCACTTTAAAATTTCACAACATAACCTATAATTTTATCTTTTAAAGTCCCTTTCTTCAGATCACGTCACATATTAAAAAAAAACTCAAAAATGTGTCTATCAGTAAATATTATTATATTTAAAAAAAATTTGTAAACCTATTAAAAGTATTTTATCTATTTATTTTTAAAAAATAGTGTTTGTTTAACTAGAAAAAACAATTTCTATAGTTTTATTTTCACCTTGCAGCAACCGTTTTGATTGGAAATCCTCTGTTTCATCGTCAATCATCGTTCTGATTTGAAATAATCAGTAGCATTGTCAGTTTCCGTTTTTGCATTTTGAAAGAATCAATTGCATCGTCACTTACCGGTATTCTTGGATATTCTGCATTTCACTTGTCATTTTCTGCTTTCGTGTGAGGTAAGAATTTTTAATAAAAAATATTGAGATTTTGATTGGATTTTCCTAAAATTATATACCCCGCGATATGTCGGGTATAAATGTAAAGGGATTACACAATCGATATTATTCTTATTTTCGATTATTACATATTGCCATTTTAATTTTTTTAATATTTAAATATTCAAAAAGATTAAATTTATTAATTTATTGAATATTATTATATTATTATTAATTTATTCTTATAAAATAGAATTTCTTTAACTGGAAAAAATTATTTCCATAATTTTATTTTCTTTTTCCAAATTTCAAGTCAATTTTGTGGAAAAAAATAAAAAAAAAAAATCGTCCATGGGTAAACAGAATTATTTTTAAAAATTATTTTTTGCATTTATTCTTATAAAATAGAGTATGTTTAACTAAAAAATA